GAAGAACTGGATCTTCCATCACTGTATTGGATACCTAAACTAAATAAGTGTCCTTACAAACAACGGTATATTGCTGGGTCTTCCAAGTGCTCCACGAAACCTCTTTCTAAATTATTAACATCTATTTTATCAGCAATCAAAGCCGGGCTCCAAAGTTATTGTGAAACTGCCTATTCTAGAGGTGGCGTGAATCAGATGTGGATACTAAAAAATTCCAAAGATCTTTTAGAGTACATACAATCTAAGACTCTCTCATCTTGCAATAGTATTAAAACATTTGACCTATCTACACTTTACACAAGTATTCCCCATTCCAAACTAAAAGACAAATTGAAAGAGTTGGTATTACTTTGTTTCATTAAAAAGAATGGCGAACATAGATACAAGTATCTTGTCTTGGGAAGGGATAAATCCTACTTTGTAAAGAATCACTCTGATTCAAACAAAAAATTCTCTGAAACTGACATTATCAAGATGCTTGATTTCTTGATTGACAACATATTTGTTACGTTTGGAGGACGTGTTTTTCAACAGACTGTCGGAATTCCAATGGGAACCAATTGTGCCCCTCTTCTTGCCGACTTGTTTCTTTATTATTATGAGGCTGACTTCATACAGGAACTTCTTAGGAAGAAAGATAAGAAGTTAGCAATATCCTTTAACTCTACGTTCCGCTATATAGATGATGTTCTCTCACTAAATAATACAAAATTTGGTGACTATGTTGAACGAATCTATCCCATCGAACTAGAGATAAAGGATACTACAGATACAGTTAAGTCTGCCTCATATCTTGACTTACATCTAGAAATTGACAATGAGGGTCGGTTGAAAACAAAACTTTACGACAAGAGATGATTTCAGCTTCCCAATTGTGAACTTTCCATTTCTATGTAGCAACATTCCAGCAGCGCCTGCATACGGAGTATATATCTCCCAATTGATACGATATTCCTGGGCTTGTGTTTCCTATCATGATTTCCTTGATAGAGGATTGCTGCTCACAAGGAAGCTATTAAACCAAGAGTTCCAAATGGTGAAGTTGAAATCATCCCTTCGTAAATTTTACGGACGCCATCACGAGTTGGTTGACCGTTATGGAATAACCGTTTCACAGATGATATCGGATATGTTCCTTATGTCGTAACTACAATACCCTTCCCTTTTCACGAATGTGACTTACTGGATTTGTAATAACATAAGCAACATGACGGGTGCCACATGTGGAGCAGGATCTGCTTACCCTTCCGGAACACCTGAGATCACCCCGTTTTTGGTGGGGTTCGTGTTGCTTAGTCTTTAGTTTTCTATGTTGTGTCATCTGTACTATTATTTGTCTGTTTGTCTTTTTATTTTTGGCCATGGCGTTGTCAGTTTGTTTTCGATCTATGAGTTTTGACTGTCCCTCTGGTATCTTTCGTCCCTCGTTCAATCTATTCGGTGACTTGTGTTTTTCATATAGATGCTAAATGATTTTCTGATTACCTTAAATAACAGGCAAGTACCTGTTCTCTTTTAAATGTAAAATTATCCAGAAAGAAGATGTACAGGTAACCACATACATGATATAGTTCTGTTGCCACATGATATAAATACACAGCACATAACACCATATTTGATGATAACTAAATGATCTGTGCCAACAATTAACATTATATTGATCTATGAATTTAATGTTCTACAGGATATAATATCTTACAGGGGTAGAAATCTCAGCATAGATTTGATAAAATATGATTAAAATGAGGGATAGACAATGGAAAATTTCAATTAGTAATGAGACACAACTACTTGAAGGAAAACATGGCAGAATGGACATTCTGCAGCTTCCTCTTTTATTATTGTATCTATATCACACATGGTCATATCATTTGTTGAACATTCTTTTAGTAGATCCTTGAGAAGTCTTCACAACAAACTTTTTGACCTACAATCCTCAGAATCAGTCATTCATAAAATGTCTTTACACCGCTATGGCCTGTGGGGCCTCTTTTTACGAACGTTTAAGAACATTTTCACTGGCCTGGACACTAGGGCTTGTGGTTAAATGTGAAAATTGTAGGGTTGTGTGACAAACATATAGCATTTTTATTTTTTATTACAGAATTGAACATGAACCATTTGACAACAGTCCAATATTTATATTACAATATATTCAAAATGATCAGCTATTAATACAATGAAAAAAAAAGAGATTCAAATAGTAATCAAATAGTAATTAAATTTATTTTTCAAACATTATTTCTAACAAATGTAGCTGTATATATATTAACAAGATACTAAAAATTTTGTTTTATAAATATAAATAGCGTTCAGAAAACTACACAATAAATCCAATCCACACTAGTTTTGTAATTAGAACTGAATATTTCTTGATAAACCTCAATCATGTTGTTTAGTCTTCTAATTAGCCATACTTTAAAAGCTTGTATATAAAAAAACATGTGTATGAAAATTTAAAATGAAACTATGAACCTTTGGTTTAAATCTAATAAATTTGGTGGTTTAATTTCCCGTTTACAACTTATAAACCCGTATAAAAACTATTTAATTACAAAAGGCCAAAAGGTCTAAAGAATTTGTGAAAGAAATTATCTTGATACTGTAAGTAAGAAATATAACAAAACATGAAATCATATACAAAAGGAAGGATTAGAAAAGGAGAAAAAATAAGAAATTAAAAATTTAATGTCTTGGGTTAAATAGAACTGGTTTGTAATATATGATTTTTGACATCAAAAGAAAGTGACTTCAAAGATACCAACAGATTTTTTTCAAGAAATTACTAAAAAATCCCTTGACAAACATATAATTAGATAGAACTGAAGTTGTGTGAGTATTCATTACCATAATCCTTTTCTGTAATAAAAAGTCTGTTAATAGACCTCATCCCTATTTTTCATATTGCGACAATTGATCCTCAATTTTGCCACAATTAACATATTGATGTCACACAACAATCACTTCTGTGCTGTTGCCTGAGACATATCCTCTTGTGAAGTCAAAATTTTACAGAAATGTCTGTGATATCCTATGATCCTGAACAAAAAACGATAAAGTGTATGACACAAAAGTGTAACACATTCAACTGGTAAGGTGAACTTAATAAAGTAATATGAATTCTTATCACATCTAGCTTTATCTTGAGTGATGCCAAGATGACATGATACAATGCATTCACATTTCTATTTATAAATCATTAACTACATATACACATGTAGAGAAGTTGAAGATGTGCATATAAAAAAAAATGTATTAAAATGAAAAAATGCAAGACTTGATCATATTTGAATTATAAGGTATATACATACTGAAATAATGTAATATTAAAAAGTTATCGGTCAGTGATACATCATAAACTCCATAAAATTCATGCTTTGAATCAATTCTATAAACAGAAAACAATAAATTTACAAACAAATATGATACAATAACATCTTACAAACAAAATACAAAACATGTAGTTACAATATTCAAGTACCTATTTGTAAATATATGACAATACTTTAAATGTTATTCAGATGTAATTATATTTAAATAACAGTTGACATTGATTTAATTCATAAATTAAACAAGAATATTTACCAATAAAGCAATTTACAAAAATATATATTAAACATCCAAGGAAGACATCAACCTTGTCTGTATAATGTTCCAAGGACAAATCTATTGTTACATTTACACAGGTGTGGATAGAGGATTTAAAAAAAAGGGGGCCCCTGAAAAGTCAACTTTTAAAAAGTCTATGTAATAACCATATATGTAGTTCATCAGGGTGGACCTGTCAACGCATATTTGTTCCACCTAACAGAAGTTCCACTGGAAACTTTGTTATAAACAATGTCATAATATCTATTCCTTTTGGAACAAATATTCTATACCATTAATTCCGTTAGGAACATATACTGTAATATTTATTCCTGTGGAAATAATATTCCAGAATATTTTTTCCTTCTGGAACTTATATTATGAAGGAATTTCTATTCTGTGACAGACCTGGACCCCCTTCTCCCCTTAAATCAGTCTCTGTTATATACAAATAGTTGGACAAGGTCAACATCTAATTGACATCATCATCCCTTTTTTACTAGTTTGAGCCATTTAAGGCAATTAAGAACTTGCTACATTTTTTTAACATTTGTCTATTGACAATGACCAAATATGGACATCTAGATGACCTTCATTTTGACTTGTGTTATTGGGTTACTGTCTCATAAATATATACATCACATTTCCTTTATTTCTTTATACCAAATGGATCAGCTCAGACAGATTTACAAATGGTCCTACATATCAGTTTCACACGAGTCCTAGAAAAATGACTTGAAGGTAATAAATAACATGTAGGCTGATTCTTATGTCTGGTACAAGTAATTTGGGGGACTATGCTTGCAAAAATTTGAATTTACAAGAAAAGTTTGGAAACTAAAATATGGCTTTATATACTAAAAATAACATTGATGTTTTCCTGCACTACTGTTGAACCAGAAATAATGTAAAATTCTGTTCACTTTGGTTCGAAGATTTTTAAAGTCATAATTGACTGATTAAGGTATGTAAACAAAAGAATTTCTTATCTCAACTTAATGTTTGTTATCTCCTTATAAAGAATAAAATACCCCAACTGTCACAAATGATGTATTATTTAGTCAATCTTATCCAAACAAAATACTTTTGATGAATGTTATGATCTACATCAAAGGAAAAGACTTGAAGCTTTCATAGAACAGTAATGTGTACTGATTGATTGTTGGTTGCTTAAAATCCAGTAGGAAATAATTTCATGCATGTTCTGGACGAGTAATGTGTATTGACTAGTGCACTTAATGTTTAAAAACACTTGGAATGCCAGCTAGATTCTGGACAATATTTCAGAGTCTGATGTTCGATTTTTGGAGCATGATGTTAAATATTTTTTTTAACCTTAACCGTTGATTAATTCAGCGATATTCCAACAGAACGAGTAGCAACCTACATCTCATTTGAATAGTTTTCTTTCATATATATATATTTAATCACCTAAATTATTACAATAATATATGAGGAAGATGACAATTCAGGGATATTACAGAAGTTCTGCTTACATATCTTATATCATTCATTGGAAGTTGCTTTTTAAAAAAACATCATTTCATAACGGTGCAGCTAACAGTAACATTTGTATGGCACCAAAATTACCTAGAGGTAGCATTACTTGTAACAAATCGTTGTTTATACATAACATTTATTACAAGCTTATATATATCTGTAACATAATTTCTATTTACAGATTAAAAGAAATATATTTTATTCATAACAAAAAGCAAAACTATCTATAATAATATTGTACGTAGGGATAATTTTTTCAAAGCTTTTGACACATGTATAGAGAATGAAAGACTGCTTAAAGAAAATGCATCAAAGAGAAAGTCACATATCAAATGCAATGCATGATATCTTTTTAAAACTTAATATACCTTTTAATTATCTAAGATATTTGGAAATAGTTTCTAGTGCCATGTTAATGAGTGATCATTATACATTATATAGGACTAAAAATGAAAAGATTAACAATAATGTTATATCACACTGATGTAAAGTTATTTAGGAAATTTATAAGCAGCTGTAGCTTATTTTTAAATCTTGAAATGGCAAGGGAAGTAATTCTTTTAATAGAAATTAATGATATTTATGTCTATTACCAGGTCTATGACCTAATTCTTAAATAAATCTTTCTTGTTTTCCTTAAATTTTAAGGTTATTTTCAGTCTACATTTTTATGTATTGTGTATACTAAAGCTACACACTGACACTCTTTTATCTTTGAAATTAACATGTAGATTGTTCACAAACTGTGTTGTCTACACATTTTAATTCTTGAAACTGACTAAATTCTGAATTTTACAAATAGAGTCAATTGCTTAGATTTTGCAGCATTCTTAAGTTATACAAATCTGAACATGACCTTACGACACCAGGTCAAAGGTCACTGTTCTGATTAAATGATCATAATCAATTACAATATTACTAAAAATACTGACAACAGCAATAGAGCCCTAATAATAAATATGTTTGAAGTTTGACTTCTTCTGTTTGGCAAAGTTTATACAATGGCACCTTTCATGTTTTGTTTGTCTTTAAAGGAGTAATGTTTTGATAAATTTGTCTGTTATCTTCAGGCAACCTACAATAGATATATATATTCTTAAACATAAAGCATAAATTTCTATTAGGTAATACATACTGCCTAACTAAAAATACATTGTTTATAACATCAGAGAGGACCTGTCTGGTCAAGTGAAAGAAAATTAAGTCTGTATAAGTAGCTATTCAAAGTAACATTAACTTTTTTTTCTCCCAATCTAAACAAAAAAATAATTTTGAATCTTATTACTAAGGCAGTCAATGTATTTTTAAACATGGTGTATTGATATTACATAAAAATAATGATATGAATTATCACTTATATACATAAGAGGAAATGGCATACGTCATTGGCTTCATAATTAAGGCCTAAACATCATATATAACGTTTTCAAAAATCAGGAAATCATTTCCTTGGTCAAGCTTTAAGCGATTTGTATATGGTACCATTATCAATGTAAACAAAGGAACATCTTCTATTTTGAGGTAATGATTTCTTGTAACATAGTATTTTTCAATAAAATTTCAATAATCAAGAAAGAGTTCTACGCTTATATATAAATGGTTCCTATTTCTGATTTTTTCATAACTGAATTGAATCAAGATTTTTGATAAGAATAACATGTCTTTAAAAATTTAATTGGAATAAGACAACAAAAGCATTATTTAAAAAAAAAGAACAGTCCTCAAACATTCACTACCCAGTGATATCATTATAATACTTTCTATACCCTAATTCTTACTTTGGTAAGTCTTTCTTTTCTTTCTTCTTTGAGTTTGCTGGCTGTGGCGGTACAATGGGCCTCGATGTTGGTCTTGCTACAGACTCAACTGTGTATTTTATGTTTGTGTATTCTCTTCCTACACTTTGCTAAAAATAAATTAGAACACTATCTGAATATAAAACTCTCTTATTAAATATTCATGTACAGCCATTGACAGTGGTGGAAAGCAATCATTTTAGTTTTAATTTTTCTGGTTTGAATTGTTTTACATAATTATGTTGGGTATGTGGTATGGGTTTTTGCACATTGTTGAAGGCCATACAGTGACCTATAGTTGTTAACTTCTATGTCATTTGGTCTCTGGTGGAAAGTTGTCTCATTGGCAAACATATCACATCTTCTTATTTTTATATTTAGTATTTTCCATTTACATATTTTACTGTATATCATGTTGTGTGCTTTTTCTTAGCCAAATAAGTAAGGGCTATTCCATTTAAACATACATGATACCCAGGGAAGGCACATTCAAAATGGGTTAACAACCTAAAGAGGCAAATTAAGAATTTCACTTACATTTCCACTGTATTTGACTCCCATCCATAGTAGAGATTTCAAAGTGCCTTCCCCGGGTCCCATGTATGTTTTAATGGAACAGCCCTAATACTAAAAAGATGGAGGTTAAGGATTGCAAATATGAAACCAACCACATGTTCATGTGTCTGTCCCATATCAGGATTATGGTCACTTGTTGTTATATCTAAATGTTTATTTCTGTTATTTGGAGGAATGAATGTTGCTGGCATCGGCTACATTTATTCACATCTTTTTAGACTCGGCAATTACAGCTTGAAATATTGTATAGACACTTGTCTATTGTAAACGACAGTATGCATTTTAGTTATTTATGTTTCTGGGTTGCTGTCTCATTGACATATATACCACATATCTACTTTTATTCATATTTAGACATTATGAGGTGATAAATGTTTTTGCATTTATTCTGGTTATACCAAATCATATAATTTGTTTAGGTCTCATAGCCATTTATGAGCCATTTAGTTACTCTATCATCAAGGTTTTGCACTTTTCTTACATATAACATACTGATATTCTGAATATTTTAAAGATGTTTCGTTACTATGTTTCAAAATAACAAGCTTTTTAAAAGACTGTTATAAATTGAAAGTATAAGAATAAAGGAACTAAAGAAGCAGAAAAACATTGAAAGGTCTGTGTGCTTGTTTTTGAGATATAAGCCATTGAAAATTTGGCAGGAAGTGATTCGCTCTAGTTTTTTCATACATTTAACATTGGTACCTTTTTTCTTTCAAAAACTATGAAAAATAAACAAGGATTTTATAAGATTTTCAAATATGGCTTTTTAAACTATATGTTATAAAAATATTAAAAGAAAAGTAGGGGTTTGCGGGCAAATTTTTTTTATGGCACTACATTGATAAAGCCAGAGGATTCCGAATATCTGGCAAAAATTCAAAAACAAGAAGAGTGAACATTCTTTAAAGTAAAAATGTTCATGGGATATTAAATTTGGTTTATTTCTAGTATTAATATTATTCACCAACGTTGACAAACTTTAGCCCCAACAGAAAATTAACCTTTAAAGAACATTAATTCCTCAAACTGGAAACCTTAAAATTATCACCAAGAAATCAATTTGAAATAAAAGCACACAATTGAATTGTAACCCCAGAATATTTGATGTTTTCAAGAATAGATTTATTCCCCTGAAGTAAATCCGTCCATCCCTAAATAATTGTTATTTAGAGTTAAGGAATCTATTAGTATGTTAGTAACTAATTGATTACATGTTCAGTATTATTTTATTAGTCAGATTAGCTGGATTGGTAATGAAAACAAATAATTACAAGCAGAAAATGATAAACTATCCAGAACTCTCAGCCACAATGACTCTTTTTTTCTTTAATTTTCAGAGCTTTGAACTATGAAAAAACAAGAATATATGTCCATACATAGGACACCATGTACTGCTCAAGCTACCCCAATTCCATATGCATGTTCAGTGAATTGTGAAATCCAGAAAACCTTAATTCAACTTTTATCTTTAAAAATTCACATTATAATGAACAAGTGTAGTCAGTTTCAATTTGATGTAACGGTAATCACTATTTCATTGTAAACTACCTTGAACAAAAAAAGGTTGAGGGATAGACAAATAGGTGACAGACATGTGCAAAGATTGAAAAACATAATGCTCCCTCCCTATCAGACATCACAGGCAGGCATAAAAGAGAAAATAAATCAGGCAGATATTTTAATGCCCTTGGTTGAAGACTGGATAAAAGCTACGATGTTGTATTATTTGGTGTCTGACTTGATAGAAATTTTAAGTAATTAATGAAAACAGTGCAAGAACATATTAACAAATACATTAAGAGATTTTTTTTACTTCTGCATAGGGAATTAAGCAAACATTTAAATGCACAAAGAAGTCAAGATAGCTGTTTCATTTTATTTGATGCTGTTATGAAAGGATTTCTAAAATTTTACAAACCATCTCCTAGGTAAGCAAAAAATACATACAAAATGTAAATATAATATTTGTAAGAATACCAATTACATTTGTCCTATAGTGTTGTATGGACAGAAATGTCATTAATCATATTTTGCATTAAAAAGCAACTGAAGATAAATAATAAAAAAAAAAACAAGAATCTGTAAATGGTATTCTGTATATCCTACGACTGCTGCCTGTCCGTGTTAAAGTATAATGTTGACTGCCAAAAAGCTACGTCCATTTGTCAATAAATTACAGAAAAATAAATAAAAAAAAAATGGCTCAGGTTATGGTGAATCATGATTCTAAGTTTTTAAACATTCCATGAAGGTTTGACAAAGTTACTGATTTCTGGAAAACTTTCGCCCTTAACTGTATCTAATTGTAAACTGAAAAAAACTTATCCATTTATCAGTAAAGTATGAAAAATTGAAAGAAAATATAATTTTGTCTGGATATTGTCTTTTGATCATAAAAAAGCTTCTGTCCTAAGTTTCATACAATTCCATGAAGGTTTGATAAAATTATTGATGCTTAATACCATAAACTGAACCTAAATGTTATCGCCACCAAAGCTGATGTAATGTAAGATCGCTATGTCTCACTTTTCGCAACAAAAACGGTTCTTTTTTAAACAGACAGTCATTGTTAATAATAATAAGGCTTACATATAGACAGCTGGACATTGCAAATTGTAAATCTATTATTTTTAAGTCGCTAGTTAATATTAAATATAAAATGATTTAGACAGCTAGTAATGTAGATTTCAAACTGATTTTTTATTAGGCAATTGATGTTTTCATATTTCACAAACCTCTTCTGCTCTTTTTCTCTGTTTTTCTGTTTCTAAGTAATGAAGCACAGCCATATATACAAATTTATACTGCGCTTCAGTTTGCACCATACCAGATCTCTGAGATCGTACCATTTGTATTGTTTTCTGTATATCTATTTCACACTCCAACCCTGTTTAAAACATGTAAGCATTGCTTTAAGATACTTTATGGTTTTGAAAAATATAAAAATCAATTACTTAACCAATCACATGTAAGCATACACTTTTCTCAAGTTATACAGTTCTATTTTACATAGCTACTGCATTGAAATTGTGCTATAACATTGGCTTGAACAGAGAAGACTTCCTGTATCATCTTTTGATAAGTGTTATTTTTAAGTGGGCTAAGTGCATTCACAAATAATAATTAATTTAATAAATTTTCAAATTCTTTCTTATATTTTTAGCATTGAGTCTGAACGAGCAAAATTACCATCAATATTCTTTAGTCTTGCCGTTCTTCCTTTTGATTCAATAAATTTTGCTAAAAATCCATTTATTCTCGATTATCTTGAAAGAGTTAAAGTTTCATTTCATTTATATTTATTGTATTATAGTTATCTCCCTTTCATCAATCAATTTTCTAGAACAGTCTTGAAATTTATAGATATAAATAGAAATTGCTATCTATAATGTAAGTAGGTTTCTTGAACTGCAAGTTAGAGCTATTTTCCTAATGCATGTAGAGTAAGACTTTAATTAGCTTTCTTGCTTTGTTTGTATATTGTACAATTCTACTTGGGATAATGTCCAATCAAATTTAATTATAATATATACAGGTTTAACTATGCCTATCTATATTTTTTGCAGATGTCAATCTTACTTACAATGCTTGAACAAACATTTATACAAACAAAGCATGCAAGCCAACCAAACCTTTAAACTACCAAGCATTAGGAAAATAGGCCTAAAACAATTGCCCCATAGTTATTCTGTCTGATTTATTTCTAATAATCTCAGTTGATAATAATTTTTTACATTTTCAGAGAATAAGTTTCAAACTTCATTGGTATCTATCAATATTTGACTTCCATATGAAGGAATATCCAGACATGCAGCCATTAACTGTTTAGCAGACGACCTGAAATATCTTCGTTATGCTGATCTGTAATTGTATGTGTATAACTTACCAAACAGTTTGATTTGATTGAGTATAATATCTATCACAATAAATGTTCCAGTTCTGCCAATACCAGCACTGAAATACAAAAAAGGTCAAATAAATGAAGGTTACCTTCTCAAACAACTATGGAAAATAAAAATAAAACAGAGAGTTAAACACTCTATTTCTTATTTTCCACAAAATTTAATTTATCATACATTTTATAGGCTCCATGTTGAAGGCAGTACTTTGACCTATAATTGTTTACTTTTTATACATTGTGACTTAGATTGAGAGTTGTCTCATTGGCACTCATACAACATCTTCTTATTTTTGTCTGATGGCAATATTGAGGTAGAAAATATATGATTAAGCCAACAAAATAAATAAGTAAATAAAAATATGCATACATTATGTTTTCTTGCAAAATAATTGTACTTTGAGTAGGTGGTATTGTTTATTTATTTGGTTCACCAGCCATAAAATACATGGCACGTTTTTAGCAAGTCCTGTTCAAGTATTAAATATATCATTTTAATGGAAGTTTGCCTGAGGTAGTCAGTCAACAAACAAAATGGCAATGATTAATGCAGTTTTGATTTCTATAGAACATCTTTGTCATTATCTATAGCAGTTACAACACATGATATGATGGTAAAAAGCTTATTAAAACGTGTGGGTCAGAACTCAAAACTGGGATTGGTGAGCTGATCCTAAATACAAAGGATTTTGGATTTATTACTTCTATTCTTAGCACATTTGAGGTATCACACAAGTAAAGAAACTATTTTACAGTTTCTGAAGTGTCACACAGGGAAAGTGCCTATTATAGCCTGTTTTGAGGTATCACACAGACAAAAGGACAAGGACAACAATTCTAATTACTAACTTACCTACAATGAACAACAACGGGGCCAGCCTCCTTTATTGAATCTTGTTTTGTATTGACTATATTTAGAAAGTTGAGGACACTTCCTGGATCTCCTGGTACACCATAATCAGGCCAAGGTAGAAAGTGATAGTGATATATACAACGAGGAGTACTCTCTAATTGCTGTAAAAGATCAATGGGTATTGTAAGGCAACAGAAGTTTACTGATGATTAAATCTCACAAATTGATTAATAAGATACAAATCAAGGTGACTTACAAAAGAAAATGAGGGAGTCTCATGAACTCCAAATAGGAGCCAGACGGGTAGTTGTTCCTTTGCTTTTTGTGTTTTTTGGCTCTGCGTGCACTGATTTTGTGTCATGGATGGATACTCCATATCTTTTCTTTCCTATTAGAGTAAGCGTCACCTGCTTTGAATGTATATATAAAGCAATTGCTATTAATGTTTAAAAAGCTTTTCACTGTGGTTTGACTTCTTTCCTCCTTTTATGTCAACTTACTTATGTAATATGTGTGGGTGTTTAACTGAGAATCGACACAACTAGCAAAATATTGACCTGGCAATCTGCCATTTAACAGAGGTTTTGGTGTTAACTTGATTTTTTGCCAAAAATTTATTTATTTATATCTTAATTTGTTATGTTAATGGTGTGCAGGACAATCATTATTCTGTGTAGGATTAAAACTGAATTACTAAAAATACATTAAGTTTAGATAGATTGATTGATTGTTGGTTGCTTAACATTTAAATAGATCTTTGTCTTTGTTTTTTTAGTATTCTGCATCAGCATCACTATTGTAAACCAACTTATGTTCACGGACGATTTACTTTTCACAACTTTTCTAGTAGAATAAAAGAACAGAGTTCCAATGTCCCCCCGCGTTGCACATATTTTATCTATCCAAGGTACAAGGGCAATAACTAAATAAAAACATTTTTTTTTCTCTTTAAAACAGTTTATAAACATCTTAAGAGAAATGAAGGCTTTAGAGAAAACGCAATGCAATTTCCATTATAAATAATTTTTCCAAGGGGCATAACTCGTTAAAAATATTTGATCAGCACTGATTTTCGAAAGTGTCAAAGACATTGCTGATATAAACCTGTACTATAAATTTCATAACAATCTGGCAAGAATTGTACACATGAGAGTGCTAACAATGCAATTTTCCATATAAATCAATATTTCCAAGGGGCATAACTCTTTTAAAAATAATTGATCGGCACTGATTTTCGAACTCGTCAAAACATTGATGATATAAACCTATAATATAAATTTCATAAAAACTGGCAAGAATTGCACACATGAGAGCGCTAATATTGCAATTTTCCACATAATCAATACTTCCAAGGGGCATAACTCTTTTAAAAATAATTGATCGGCACTGATTTTCAAACTAGTCCAAGACATTGCTGATATAAACCTATGATATAAATTTCATAAAAATCTGTTAAGAATTGTACACATGTGAATGCTAACGATGCAATTTTCCATAAAATAATGTTTCCAAGGGGCATAACTCTTTTAAAAATAATTGATGGGCACTGATTTTCAAACTCGTCCAAGACATTGCTGAAATAATCATATGATATAAGTTTCTTAAAAATCTGGCAAGAACTGTACATGTGAGAGCGATTACAAGACCGGTTGGACGGAGGCCAGGTACTTCTATGTCCCCCGCAACGCATTCACGGAGGGGGGGGGGGCAAAAACAACGCCAAAATATATAGTTGAGAATATTTCAAAATTGTCTTCTCTTATATTACACGGACAAAGTAAGAAAGTCTTCATTGGTGAGTGTATAAATCTGTTTCATTATATTATTAAATGTCATGAGTATGAATTCCTACACAGAAGAGACAGTTCTATAAAAATGTTGATAAAATATTTGATCTGGACATAATGTGTAGTGCTTTTTATTGGAATAATAAGAGATTATGGTTATTTTTATTGACATGTAAACTCAGTCTTGGGCTCATAAACTTAACATAAAGTCCAGTTTGTGAGTGATTTAACCAAGTTTACAAATCATGAAACTCCTTCAAAATAACCTTTCATAATTATATTATCCTAAAAGCTCAAATAAATATAATTTGACCTCTCAAATGCAAAAGGGACAAAAACTTTTACAAATACTGTAAATTTAGAAATTAATGCATGCTATTTAATTTTCTCTGGTTGGATACTTTTATCAAAAATTCAAATATGAATTTTGATTTTTGTGAAATAATCCTATCACATTTTTCAAACAAAGATTAAAAAAACAGCTTTGGTTAGAGATTTTACAATAATCCTGGTTACATTACCTTTCCGTCTCTACCTTCACGATACAATTCAAATTCACGATATATAAAGTCACTATCTTGTTTCTGTGATATATGTTTTAATGTCATTTTGCCATCATAAACATCCCATGACTGTGTTAAGTTGCTTTCTGGACTATCTGGTCCAGGCCAATACCGCACGGCTTTCACCTATTTAAAATATATAAATTGCATTGTAAAAAGTCAAAATCAAATTGTATCTGTATTGTGTTGAACAAGTATGGATCACATTAAATCATAAACAGCAGAACTTGTGATTTCTAGAACAAGAACGACATGATCATTGTGGATTTTCTTGAACATGTTCTATTTTTCAGGTTGTTCATCCTTAACCTTTGATATATACGGAACAAGAACGACATGATCATTGTGGATTTTCTTGAACATGTTCTATTTCCCAGGTTGTACATCCTTAACCTTTAATATATACAGAACTAGAATGACATGATCATTGTGGATTTTTCTGAACATGTTCTATTTCCCAGGTTGTTCATCCTTAACCTTTGATATATACGGAACAAGAACGACATGATCATTGTGGATTTTCTTGAACACGTTCTATTTCCCAGGTTGTACATCCTTAACTTTTGATACATACAGAACTAGAATGCACATGTTGTCGTGCTAAGCATACCTTCACTGGTAATTGAAAGTATTAGAAAATAGGTAGTAGGTGTTTGACAAATCCAAAAAGCACTTGCAAACTAATGCATTGCAAAAATTCAACTCATCATTGTCAAGCGGCTAACTAAATATGTCCAGTAGTATTTATGGAAAGTGTGACAGAAATAAATTGTTTTTCAGAACTGTTTATTCTTACATCATTCTATTTATAGGATTTTAAGGTTTTACATTTTAAGCATGCTGTATCTACTTTTATCCTTGTGCGCAGTGTCCTATTTGCACTTAAGTTTCTTTTACATTTGGTTTTTTTATTGTGATACATGACCTGATACTATCAATGAAAATGTCTAAAAGCTGAAAAAAATTTAGAGTTCAAAATTTGTAATAAATTCATTTTATTTATCTTTAGATATGTTAATGTCTATTCAACATTTATTATTTATAAAGTGTAATAAAAATTTACAAATATTCAACTTTCATGTTTACCTTTCCACGTTCTACTTCCTTTGTTGTCATGACAATAGTCCGACAGTTTTCCTGCCAGACCATTCTCCAGAAATCAACAACAGTATTTGGCAAAGCACCTTGAGTAGCAATATAACCTTTCTTCAGATCTAAATTATCATCTTCTGTCTGTAAATATAAATTATGTAATATTCTTAGGAACAATACACTTATCTAAACTAGAGAAATTAAACAGTGAAAAACATGATCAATTACTGATGAGAAATTTGAAATTGTTAGTTATCAATATCTTTTCAATTTTCAACTGTAGCATGCTTCAAATCTTCTAAAATATCTATATAAAAACAGGTATGAAATTTCAGGAAGTTCATGCTGCAAAACCACTGATACAGGTTTGTGTATGTTGTGAATTCTGGAATGAATATAACAGTTTTACAAAAATAACCCATGACTTTCAAATCCCTAAAAAATTACCAGATTGAGTGAAAAAATCCGTAAACATTTACTTGCCTTGGCCCTCAGGATTGTAGCTCATCATGAAGACTGATAATGTCATGAACATTACAAACATAAACCTGAATCTGTCTCTTTTTTTATTTCCATTTTAAGACATAATCTTGATTTTAAATCGTTTCCATCACAAGAAAAATAAGAGTTAACACTCTGTGTATATTTGTTCATACTTTAACATTTTAAATGTATCAAACTTTCTTATAAAGTTATCTTTGTTTTTGTATCCTTTTTAAATATCAAAATTACATATCTACTTACTGATATTAAATTACCATTAATATAGTCTGAACCTATCACTTGTGGGTCACCATCACGTAATACAATACGGGTATGATCAACTGAAAAATACAAAATAAAAAAACATAAAAAAAATTCTTGTCTCATTGCTTTGTAACAAAATTCTTGAAGCCACCAAGTTGTCAAAGACCAAAGTTGCCTTGCACAAAACTGAGGTAATATTTTGACTTTTGGTATGGAACATATACCTGATGAAGGTTATCTCAAGCAGGAGCATGTTAGGTGTGCATGGAAAATAAGTCTTAATGTATTATGTAATTTTGTTGTCATACTAATGTATCAGAATATTATTGTTTTTTAGATTGTTTCTCTTGGAGGAAATAGATTCTGTCTTCACTTTTTGGAAACAACAGAAAAATGAACCGTTGTATAAATAGTATAGTAATTTTGATAATGTATTTTGTTTGTCTAAAGTCTGTAAAAAGAATTAATTTCAATAGATATTTAGGGGGCAGGCCTTGGTGGCCAAAATTGTCGTAGAAGTTCATCTACAGTAATCACTAGCTCGTCAACACTAAGGTTGTGAGTTTGAATCCCACTTGTGGCAAGGCACATTTGACTTCGATCTTAATTGACAAGGATTGCAAGTTTTCCTGCTTAAGGTCAGTGATACTCTCCAGGTACTTCAACCATCAATAAAAACTGGATGCCACGAAATAGCCATGAGTGCTAAAAGTGGTACATGTATTACAACACCAACTATTCAAAATGTTGTCCAAATCTCATAAATATTTGGCAAGTAACAAAAATTAAACCCTCACTGAGATTAGAAATATTATTTTTTACTCATTCAACCAAGAAAAATCAATAAATATATGACACTTACATGGCAAGATATTTTTGTATCTGTTTCTCGGCTTGTTTTCTGGTCGTTGACCTTCTTTACGACTATATAGATGTCGGACTTCCATCTGTTGTAATTGCTGCAAAGATACAAGATTGTTTCCATGGTAAAGGATTATATACAAAATTCACAATCGTATGAAATATTTCAGCCAAATACATCTATTTGGGCTCTATTTCTTCATTATATGTAGAATTACAAAAACATTGAGGAATTTATGCACTTTTGTTTTTATTTATCAAAGGAAACAACAACAGCTTTTTAACTGCATTTTCTCCTTTCAAATTTCAGCTACTGTTGCTATACAAATTCAAAAGACTACTTATTTGGACAATATTATATGGAAAATTATTAATTTTATTTTATTTTATAAATACTGATAATAAAAAGATCAAGAATGAAACAGAGATTCTCCTTTTTACAGAGAAAGCCCCAGCTTCTTTTAGGAAAGATATAAAATTTTCTTCTACATTTGTACAACAAAAGTTCAGATTAAGTAGGGCCTCTTTTATGCACCTTAAATTTGAAAATCTGATCATACAACCTTTCTTTTTTAACTTTGTAACTATAAAACAAATTGTGGGTTAAAAATAGTTTTATTTGGAACATGCCAAATAAGCATGGTATACAGTTACTGTGACTTATTTTTGCTTTGGGAAAACAATAGCTATCCTTGGGAAACTTGTTCATGTTTTTGTTCTCATTAGAATTATTTATATATTAAATATCAATTTGATACCTAATGGCACCTCATTGAAATTACATTGAATGTTTATGAGCTATCATAAAGCAGTAAAAGTTGGTAGATGTGAAAAAGGTACTTCTTGACAAGTTAGGACTATTCCTAAATGTTGGTGTTAGGAGGCATTTTATAGAAAATCTTAATATGCTATGGCTTTATTTTGGTAGTACAGTCGACTCTCGTTATCTCGAAGTCAGCCGGACCAGAAAAATATTTCGAGATACCCGTAGTTCGACTCAAACGTAAACCGGAAGTCTGACAAACCAAGGGACTCAACTCATGTTCAGCTTGGTTATGCTAAAATAAATCTGAATGTACATGGGTAGGGGATCGAGATTCTGGTTTCAGATCGATGTAAATGTATGTTATGGTCTTATATTATTAAAGTAAAATATTCTTTTTAATTGATTTCATTGTAAGGTTACAATTTTTCCAATGTTTTTTATTCGAGGGGATAATTTTCAATCGATCTTACTGTTATTTAAAGTTGACAAAATTGTTCATTCTCGTATATCAAAGGATTTTAGAAATTAAGATTTCTTTTCTTTTTCTTTTATTTCAATTGTTTTCTGCAAGAGAAAATACAAAAAGATTAAAAACGCCGATTGAGTAGTTTTTAGTTGATCACAGAAACTTTAATTCCTTCTTTATACACAACCAAGCTCATTAGTGTATGATTACGGTTAATTATTTTTAAAACATTTTAAATAATTTTTATAAACTATAACAATATATCACTAATTATTATTTATCATGGTGATCAAAGATAATCTTAGGTAAACACTCGAGGAGAGAGAATGTCATAAATCAATACAGTGGTCAGGGACCAAAAATGTAATTACACGTGTATTGTCATATCCCCGAGGTCATGTTTTGACATAAGTGTATTACTTCGAGATAAATAATGAATTTTTAATGCTTTTGTTCACCTTGGGACCGTAAATTTAGTTCGAGTCAACCGAAATTTCGACTCATCAAATTTCGACTCATCAGGAGTCGAAATACATACATTTGAATGGAACAAAGTTCGGGACCACGGGAAAACTTCGACTCATCTGAAATTTCGAGTCAACCGAGTTCGAGACAACGAGAGTTAACTGTATTAGATCTGCAAGTGATGGGGTAAAGAAAAACAAATTCCCCCAACACCCATAGCAATATTTTTTGTGATAGCTTTAAGTATGTATATATTTATTACACAATTATTGTATTACTGTAAATATTATTAGTATACACTGGTATCAATTATAAAGAGGAGAGTGTCTTGAGAAAATTGACCATCAGTAAGCATTTCTGTAAGGATGCACCATTTGCAAATTACAAACACCAAGCACCAGTTGATGCCAATACTGGTCGAATTAGAATTCTGATGTGCAAGACAAGTCAAAACTATTCAAATAGATTTTTAACTCCAAAAGCAATTCTTTTACATACAAGTTTTATATTCCATTAAATAATACCTTTAATGCCAAAACAGTTTCAATAGATTAGCCAAAATGTCTGCTTTAAACATTTTCTCAATATATAAGACAGCTTGCACCATTTACACCAGATGGGCTTTGACATGTGTTTGTCTCAAGCCAGGAACCACATCAGTGGTTGCCTTTTGTCACTTGAAGAATTTGGCATAAATGGCCTATATTAAATTATTCATAAATTTTTTACACTGAAAGCAATTCAGAGCCTGATAAATTGTACAAACACATTTCTATTGTCAAAAACCAAATACTGCATTGTGACCATAAGATGTCTTTTTGTGTCTTGGGGTCGCTGATTCATATTTTAGCCTCATAGCTTAAATTTGAAGATAACAGATAAAAATCCCTTTATATCCCAGAGGAAATTCAAACTTTCACAATAAAATAAGACAAGACTCTTAAGTGTTTTTAGCACATTATATATGATGTGATTAGATGATGACATATCACAAGTAGCGAGTTACAGTTAATTTGGCCTGTTACCTCATTTTAATGTACTCTAGAAATACACCAACCTCAAATTCATCCCAAAATCCACCTTTGTTCCCTTGTTTCTTTTCCTTATCATTGTCTAGTTGTTTGACCCGAGCCTGCAGGCCTGATGCTGATATTCGTGTAGCATTGAAAGGCTGGAAATAAAATTTTGATTGATATAGATGTGTTTTTTCATACAAACCTCAAACTCATCCCAGAATCCTCCTTTACTTCCTTGTTTCTTGTCTTTCTCCGTTTCAAGTTGATTGACACGTGCCCCTAGACCTGACGCTGATATTCTGGTGGCATTGAATGGCTAGAAATATAAAAGAACACCGTTCCAATGTTCCCCGCCTATGAAATTATTTCATTTGTCCAAGGGCAATAACTCAAATAATTGTTCTATTGAACTTTTTTCATAATATTCTACAAGAAATGTAGGTGCGAGATCATTAACAATGTTATTTCCCATAAATTCTATTTCAGAGGGCATAACTCCTGTAAAAACAGTTAATCAAAACTGATCATCAAACTCGTACAAGACCTTGCTTATATAAAAATTAAAAATCTTTCAGAGATACGTAGGCTTGAGCACACTCACAATGCAATTCCTATAGAATTTTTAATTCCAATCACTGACTTTTAAACACGATATAAATTTCATAAAAATCTGGGAAGAATTGTAAGTGTAAGGGCATTAATAAGTCTGGACATACGAAGGGATGCCCAATTACTTCTATGTCCCCAGCTCTGCATTGCGGATGAGGACAAATTCAAAAGTAAAGACTGAATATATTTCTTTTACTTGAGTCCACAAATTTTATTCATGGCTACATAACTACTAGAAAATCCTCAAACTGTAAGGAACATCCATTTGCATATATCTAGTCTTCTATAATCTTTTTTCTGAATTTTCACAGTTGTGAACAGGATAAAAGTCTTCTACAAATGTAAAAATTTTAAAACAAACAATAAAAAAATGTTATAAATGACTAGCATGACTAGTAAGGATTTTTTTTTTTGCATTTGAGAATTGACAGTGTTTTGTGAAGTTAGGTTTTGTTCATAAATCAGTTTAAAATTTATTCTTTCTTGTGTAAGTCAATGTCCTCATATACCAAACCAAATTAAAGGTAAAAGTTCTTCATGGTGTAAATTCTTCAGGTACCAGCAACATTTATTGCCACAGTGAAGAAATTTAATACTTACTGTTTTAAGATGTACAACTGTACCCGATCGTTCTACCATGGGATTTTTGCGATAATGTTCTATCAAATCTGACAAACTTTTGAATTTCTCACCACCACCAACATCATAATTTTCTTCCTGCAAAAATGAGAATTAAATAAAATTAACTGTTGACACAGAAAAATGTCTCACCTGTATGCAAATATGATAGCAAATGTTGAAATTAAAATAGCAATTCTTTAACATATGAAATATTCAAAATAATCAACGTCAATAAACCATGACATATTGGGCAAGGTTTAATAGTCTCCATGGAAATTAGATGTGCCAATGTTTATTCAACTGCATACCAAATACCATTGACTTATCATGAATGACTCCCCTTAAATTGACCTAATCACAAACTTTAACAAAGTATTGACACCACCATCACCAACACTGGAAATAGCACACCTAAGTCTTGCTTTTTGTTTCTGTCAAGGCAGGACAAAAATACAAAAATATAATAATTTGGCTGTTGTCTGCTCTATGGTTGGGTTGTTGTCTCTTTGACACATTCCCCATTTCCATTCTCAATTTTATTATCTTAAATATTCTAGGTTTTGGGGTTTTTTTTGCAGATCACTGTTTATTTTTTATAAGTGTGTTTAAATTAATCATTTTTATATTTTGAACAAATATTAACATATTTGATTTCAGCTATAAGATTTAATGAATATTTCTTCAGAGGCCTTATAGAAGGGTTTACAAGTAATATATTATACAAATGACATACTGCTTCATGAAAACAGATCATAACATGTGTAGCCTTGTCATCTGTCCTGACTGACAGAACATAATCTCCAGGTTTACTCTGGCTCTCTCTCACCAGGTAACTACCATTCTTTCCTTTTTCCATTAGCACCTTTTCTGCTTCCTTCCCAGATAAATGGCCGTGAAACCATCTGTAAGTTACAAAAGCTGTTTAATAAGTAGAATATATATGTTGATTACACTTTGATGTAAATGAGGATTGTAATTTACTACTGTGGATTCATCATTATTATTGGTGGATAACAATTTTTTGTGGATTTTGTTAGTACAGATGAACCAGTCCACGAATTTAAATGATTAATGAAGAACAAATTTTCTGTAGCTTAATTGTATGCAGACTTTTCAAAAACCAGAAAATCAAATATCTATCATTGTCCATGAAAATACATTTTTTCCTTAATCCAAGAAAATTAGTACCCAAGAAAAAAAATTATTCCACTTTAGTTCCAAAAAATTTCTATCAATCACTACTTATAATGTAACACATACAGTGACACACTCTACTGGACTAAAATAATTAAACGTCTATGACAAAAAGATATTTTAGCTAAGAATAAAAGGCAATAAGAGGTATATGTATGTCTCCTTTCATCAAAGACAAAAAATAATTATGCATTTACCGGTAATATTCATCTATATAAAGGTAAACATTTTTCAAAATACAATAAGTTTTGGTAGTAGCACTACTCTTAAAGCCAGATGAATGCAAAACATCCTCTGACATGTCATACTGTATAAATAATTTAAGTACAATATTTTATCAATAATCATAATTTTACAAAATTAACATAGATTTTCCGTTGCCCTCTAGTTTTAATGTGGTTTTAGCATTGTACAAACTGAGTTGGTTTTGCCGATGATGTACTGCCATTACCCTGTCTAATACCATTGGCAAAATTCAAAGATAATTTCTAATTGTATATTGTCAGTCGAAAAATTATGTAACCATGATAACTGTACTAAACTATGACTGCAGCTCCTTCAGGCAAAGTTGACTTGAATTAGTTTTGATATTTATCTTTAGGCTGGTTTAATGCACCTAAATTTTATAAAATTGGCCTTCAAATCTTTAGATCTGAAGTCTACCTAATATTCTGAAAGCATGTTTTGTGTATATCAATATCAGTACCTAACCTTTATGGGTCTTTCATGCTCTTGAACTTCATACTTTATTTGGCCTTTTTAACTTTTTTGATTTGAGTGTCACTGATGAGTGTTTTGTAGACGAGATGCCCATCTGGCGTACAAAATTTTCATCCTGGTATTAAATGTGGTGACTTTATTTATGCCAGAGAAGCTCAGATATATCAACCCGGTCATGGGTTTACAAATATATAGAATTTGTATGTACTAGATACACTTATAAGGGTGTAACCCATTTGGGTGTATCTTATAATTTACCATTTGATATTATAGTTAACATGGTTAATGCAAAATTATTGCTTTCAAAACTTAAGGGAGGGGGAGTGTCTTTCGGCATGATAAAATCACGATATTCAATTACATTTAATGTCATTATGACGTAAGTGATCAATGATGTATTATCACATCCGTAACAATGTCAACACATTTACAACATGCAACTAACACGTAATAATACATGTGACCATATGTAATGTGTCATTTTAAGCATGGTTCATAAAGTCCTGTTTCAATTTTACATACAAATGTACTGTTAAATCATTCTATTCTTTGTTAGCTAAATTTAATTAAATATAATTGTACTGTTTATAGATGTATTCTTTGTCATTTCCTGAACAGACAATATTAAAACAACGCACAGGAAATTAACATCAAGTACACATATCATATCACTTCACTTATTATACTTCTTCACAAATTAGGGTCTTAATTTTAATAGAGAATTGTTGACAGGAAATATAGAGGAAATACAATATCAACTAAATGACTATACACATGATACAATATAGGCCAAAGTTTGATAAATAATATCTACGTCTGTTGTTGGAACTGCTATTATTTTACACTCTAATACCTTACTTAAACAATAGAAAGGTTTGGTACCTAATTAGAGAGGTCATGGAGGTGGGATGCATGTGTGTAATCAATTAAAATTGTACAATCAAATTTTGCACCGAATAATTTCCATCATCCTCTGATCTGAAATTAAAATGACGCACTTTTATTTTTTGACGCAGTTTCAGGATGTACTTCTTTATGAACTTTTCCTCATTGTACAGACTGGTGCTGAATCATAAAATTTTACAAATAATTATACAGTGACCTTGGAATTGCATTTTTTTTATCTCCAAAATGCCCTTGTACTTAGTTTATTCCATTCAACAAACGTATTTACACTTGTACATGTATGCAAATTTGTCTGCCATTACTAAAGTTCTATCACACAAGTTCCCATAAAATCTGACATCATAATTCAAAAATTTTGATGTCATAATCAAAAAGTATAATTGTTAACTGAAGGTTATTTGGAGACAGAATTCAGATAGATACCAAAAGTGTAAATACGTTTATTGTTTTTAATTTTTTCATATCAAACCCAATCAAAAAGAAAAGCTTCATGTATTTTTTTGATAGTTACCTTTCTGTTGTGGGATCTTCAGAATTTAATGGATATTTAAGTTCAATAACAACTCCATTTTTCTCCTTGAGTTGACCTTGATTTTCCATATAATATTGCACAAGTTCAGCGAGGGTGGCAAACTTTTCCCCTCCATACAAATCATAATATTCTCCATTGTTCTGGATTTTTATGTGTGTTACTTCATTATTCCTTCTGAAATATACAAATAAATGTCAACTGTCAACCTATATTAGACTAAAAACAATTGGTTTACCTCCAGCATCAAATATTACATAAATATTCAGTTGGATACAATAATGATAGTTATTGTATCTTAACATATAGAATCTGGTTACATTATCATGATTATGTAACTTCTGTAAACATTATCCAAGCAAATACACAGATCAAAGCCAAAAGGGAAAGGACAGACAAGCAAAAAGGTTTTCAGTCAGTCCTGACTAACAAGAATAGGACAAAAGGGTAAAAGCTTTCATTTAGTCTGCTAACAAGGATAAGACACTCAGGCGAAAAGTTTCAGTCAGTCTACTAACTAGGATAGGACAAACAGACAAACAGACAAAAAGCTTTCATTTAGTCTACTCACAAGGATTGGACAAACAGACAAAAAACTTTCATTTAGTCTACTAACAAGGATAGGACAAACAGACAAAAAGCTTTCATTTAGTCTACTAACAAGGATTGGACAAACAGACAAAAAACTTTCATTTAGTCTACTAACAAGGATAGGACAAACAGACAAAAAGCTTTCATTAAGTCTACTTACAAGGATAGGACAAACAGGCAAAAAACTTTCATTAAGTCTACTACCAAGGATAGGACAAACAGGCAAAAAGCTTTCATTTAGTCTACTAACAATGATAGGACAAACAGACAAAAATCTTTCATTAAATCTCCTACCAAGGATAGGACAAACAGGCAAAAAGCTTTCATTAAGTCTACTAACAACGATAGGACAAACAGGCAAAAAGCTTTCATTAAATCTACTACCAAGGATAGGACAAACAGACAAAAAGCTTTCATTTAGTCTACTAACAAGGATAGGACAAACAGACAAAAAGCTTTCATTAAGTCTACTAACAAGGATAGGACAAACAGACAAAAAACTTTCATTAAATCTACTAACAAGGATAGGACAAACAGACAAAAAGCTTTCATTTAGTCTACTAACAAGGATATGACAAACAGACAAAAAGCTTTCATTTAATCTACTAACAATGATAGGACAAACAGGCAAAAAGCTTTCATTAAATCTACTACCAAGGATAGGACGAACAGACAAAAAGCTTTCATTTAGTCTACTAACAAGGATAGGACAAACAGACAAAAAGCTTTCATTAAGTCTACTAACAAGGATAGGACAAACAGACAAAAGCTTTCATTAAGTCTACTAACAAGGATAGGACAAACAGACAAAAAGCTGTTATTTAGTCTACTAACAAGGATAGGACAAACAGACAAAAAAGCTTTCATTTAGTCTACTAACAATGATAGGACAAACAGGCAAAAAGCTCTCATTAAATCTACTACCAAGGATAGGACAAACAGACAAAAAGCTGTCATTTAGTCTCCTAACAAGGATAGGACAAACAGACAAAAAGCTTTCATTAAATCTACTAACAAGGATAGGACAAACAGGCAAAAAGCTTTCATTAAATCTACTACCAAGGATAGGACAAACAGACAAAAGCTTTCATTAAATCTACTACCAAGGATAGGACAAACAGACAAAAAGCTTTCATTTAATCTACTAACAATGATAGGACAAACAGACAAAAAGCTTTCATTAAATCTACTACCAAGGATAGGACAAACAGACAAAAAGCTTTCATTTAGTCTACTAACAAGGATAGGACAAACAGACAAAAAGCTTTCATTAAGTCTACTACCAAGGATAGGACAAACAGACAAAAAGCTGCCATTTAGTCTACTAACAAGGATAGGACAAACAGACAAAAAGCTTTCATTAAGTCTACTAACAAGGATAGGACAAACAGACAAAAAGCTTTCATTAAATCTACTACCAAGGATAGGACAAACAGACAAAAAGCTTTCATTTAGTCTACTAACAATGATAGGACAAACGGACAAAAATCTGTCATTATGTCTACTAACAAGGATAGGACAAACAGACAAAAAGCTTTCATTTAGACTACAAACAATGATAGGACAAACAGGCAAAAAGCTTTCATTAAATCTACTACCAAGGATAGGACAAACAGACAAAAAGCTTTCATTAAGTCTACTTACAAGGATAGGACAAACAGACAAAAAGCTTTCATTTAATCTACTAACAAGGATAGGACAAACAGACAAAAAGCTTTCATTAAATCTACTAACAATGATAGGACAAACAGACAAAAAGCTGTCATTTAGTCTACTAACAAGGATAGGACAAACAGACAAAAAGCTTTCATTAAGTCTACTAACAAGGATAGGACAAACAGACAAAAAGGTTTAATTAAGTCTACTTACAAGGATAGGACAAACAGGCAAAAAGCTTTCATTTAGTCTACTAACAAGGATAGGACAAACAGACAAAAGCTTTCATTAAATCTACTACCAAGGATAGGACAAACAGACAAAAAGCTTTCATTAAATCTACTACCAAGGATAGGACAAACAGACAAAAAGATTTCATTTAGTCTACTAACAAGTATAGGACAAACAGACAAAAAACTTTCATTAAGTCTACTACCAAGGATATGACAAACAGACGAAAAGCTTTCATTTAGTCTACTACCAAGGATAGGACAAACAGACAAAAAGCTTTCATTTAGTCTACTAACAATGATAGGACAAACAGACAAAAAGCTTTCATTAAATCTACTACCAAGGATAGGACAAACAGGCAAAAAGCTTTCATTTAGTTTACTAACAAGGATTGGACAAACAGGTGAAAAGCTTTCATTAAATCTACTAACAAGGATAGGACAAACAGACAAAACGCTTTCATTAAATCTACTACCAAGGATAGGACAAACAGACAAAAGCTTTCATTAAATCTACTTACAAGGATAGGACAAACAGACAAAAAGTTTTCATTTAGTCTACTTCCAAGGATAGGACAAACAGGCAAAAAACTTTCATTAAGTCTACTACCAAGGATAGGACAAACAGACAAAAAGCTTTCATTTAGTCTACTAACAAGGATAGGACAAACAGACAAAAAGCTGTCATTTAGTCTACTACCAAGGATAGGACAAACAGACAAAAAGCTTTCATTAAGTCTACTAACAAGGATAGGACAAACAGACAAAAAGCTTTCATTTAGTCTACTAACAAGGATTGGACAAACAGACAAAAAGCTTTCATTAAGTCTACTAACAAGGATAGGACAAACAGACAAAAAGCTTTCATTAAATCTACTACCAAGGATAGGACAAACAGACAAAAGCTTTCATTAAATCTACTAACAAGGATAGGACAAACAGACAAAAAGCTTTCATTAAGTCTACTTCCAAGGATAGGACAAACAGGCCAAAAACTTTCATTAAGTCTACTACCAAGGATAGGACAAACAGACAAAAAGCTTTCATTAAGTCTACTACCAAGGATAGGACAAACAGACAAAAGCTTTCATTAAATCTACTAACAAGGATAGGACAAACAGACAAAAAGCTTTCATTAAGTCTACTTCCAAGGATAGGACAAACAGGCCAAAAACTTTCATTAAGTCTACTACCAAGGATAGGACAAACAGACAAAAAGCTTTCATTAAGTCTACTAACAAGGATAGGACAAACAGACAAAAAGCTTTCATTTAGTCTACTAACAAGGATAGGACAAACAGACAAAAAGCTTTCATTAAGTCTACTAACAAGGATAGGACAAACAGACAAAAAGCTTTCATTAAATCTACTACCAAGGATAGGACAAACAGACAAAAAGCTTTCATTAAGTCTTCTAACAAGGATAGGACAAACAGACAAACATTTTTTTACTTACATATATTTAGCTGCAGAACCATTGCTCTTTTGTTCTTACAATTTTTGTCAATTTGTCTGGTTGACAATATGCAGACAAACAATCAAATAAAAGAAGAATGTGTCTGAGGACTCAATGCCCCCACTCAAGCTTTGCAATTTTCCAAGTTAAAAAGGGACATAACTCTAGAACGGTAAATGACTAACAACCTAAATTTATAGTCTGTCTGCGTGTTGTGGTTCTTAGCATTGTGTATGAGTTTCATAAAATTTGCAGAAGGCAAACTATAGTTAGAGTGTGGAAACGAAAATGGGACGAACAGACGGTCAAGGGTTACACTTAATGCCCCCGTTGTCTATGGCGGTGACATAAAAATATCATTTGGAACTAAGAGCTAACATATAATACATTATAGAAAAATATCTAAATTCTAGAATTTTAAGTTGTGATGTTTTTACTATTTCAAAATGGTTTTAAGGTGGACCATTGGTTTATATTTCCTCAGATAGAATTTTCTTATATATATAAAAATAAAAAGATGTGGTATGACTGCCAATGAGACAACTCTCCACAAGAGACCAAATGACACAGAAATTAACAACTATAGGTCACCATATGGCCTTCAACAATGAGCAAAACGCATGTCGCATAGTCTGCTATAAAAGGCCCTTGCCAGGATGTAGATTTTTCCATGCTTTTTCCAAAAATATGATAAAAAGTATGGGTCTTTTTTTTCAAGCTACAAGTCCTGAAAATTGCCCAAATTTGCATAGATTGTTCATGAAAAAACACATTGATGTGAATGAAGAGAAATCTATGAGATAGAATTTTGAAATGAAATATGAAAAGATATATATATATATGCTTTGAAATATGCTTTAAGAAAATAAAAAGAAAAAAAGGTGTCACCGACCTTTGTTTTGTGCTACAAGTAAAAATTGGAAATTTCTGTATCATCCCTTTATAAAAATTTTACTATTTGAGTTATCTTCCCTTAAATGGTTAAGTTAACAATTTGATTCGAACAAACACAAATATTTGGTATTGGATAAATCAGTCTGAATAATGCAATAAATCACTTATTTTTCTTTATTCCAATAAACAGTCTAACCAAATGTTTGCAGATTTAAGCAAAGAACTAGACCTATTGTGAACTGCTATTTTACAATCCAAGATGGCAGTATACATCTAATCTACCTTAAAAAAAATTATGGTATCATATTAGTACTAACTAATCATGCTAATGTCCCATTTTAGTCCATTTTTCAAGACTAGCAATAATAAATGTATGCAGAAATTTTTTAATTTAAAGTATATGAATTTAAGGAGATAATATAAATAACTAGACATCATTGAGATGGGAGCCATCTCTGTGGGCCCCGCTATAAATAACCTTGAACTTTGACCTAGGAAATTGTACAAACGTTATGACACACCCTCTGGTGTTGGTAAATATACATGTCAAGTATAAAGTACGAATTATAATGGTTCTCTAGATATAGAGTGGACACAATTTGTTACGGACAGACAAACTGATCACTATAGGGCAACCCACCACTAGACAGGGCCCTAATTATTAAGAGTATTGACCATCTAAAGTCATGGTCTGAGCTGCATTTCGGATGCGTTTTTTTAAGGCAAATACAAAAACCTTAACATTTCTTTAAGAGGTGAAATTTTTATAGAAGATTGAAGTAGTGCTGCTTGATTATAATCTCCAATAGTTAGCAAAATTGAACTGTAATAGGTACAAGTGCATTTTCAGGAAATCAGTATAACTGTGTGACATCCTTGCAGAGTCAATAAGATACTTGGAATTTTCCAGTGGTTTGCAATTATTCCTTATTTTTAAGGGCTTTAACTTCAAGAGCTTTACAAATACTGTCACTATAAGCTTTAAGTATTTTATAAAAACAATTTTTTAAGATTTCCTTAATTTGAGCAATGCTGAGTGAAGTACTGAGTGTTTTTTTAAATTTTTTTTAACATAAGTTCATGTGAAGTTTATTTCCCTACCCTTATATACATATGTTTGTGTCAATTTACTTCCTTCTTAACAACAAATCTTATTCTATATTAAGACTTTCAATTTGATACCATAATGGTTATTTATCTACAAGAATGATGTAATTGACTTAAACTAATGTTCTATTGATGAAAATATTAACTTTAAAAATCAGAAATTGTGTTGTTTGTTTGTTATATAAAGATTTAATTGTGTAAAATAAATTAAAGCAAATTTGTATTTAAAAAAAAGTAAAAACTAATGGCTGCTTCTAGTCTGTATCACTCCAGGACTAAATTACTCTAACGAAGATTATATATATATATATAAATTTTGATAAATTTAGCTGAAGCTTGTATTGTTTTCATTAATCCCTTCAATTTCTAAAGCATTGTAATTAAGTCTCAAAAAAGGTTTTCGACAATTGGCCAACCATATTCAAATATGTCTTCTAGTTACTAAGTTATTCATCCAATCAGAACCAAACTAGGGTCATTTTTAGAAAACCTATTAATAAATTTCTACAAGTTTAATAGGATTTTAATGAAACTTAGTAATTTTGGAATTTACCATTTCCCACCTGATGATAAGGTCATAAAACTACACAAGGTTAAAAAATAAAGAATGAAGCACAAATATAAATCCATTTTAAAGACATTATTGATGCACTTTTTTTTGTATTTCAAATCTCAGATATATTTATAAAAGGATTTTGATTGGAAGGAACTGTAGGTACATTCTTGTAAATCTTATCGATGCGTTTGACATCCATAATAATTCTATTATAGCCTACTATACATTAATATTTTATTGAGATTTAAACCTTTTTTGGGGTAGATATAGGCAGTTTGACAATTACCTATACAGGAAGTTGATAAAATTCACTGATAAAACTTGCTTTGGTGAATGTAGGTCATATACTGATCTTTAAATTATCAATAAACAAAATCAAAAGGTATATGTTGTTCAATTGGCTATTGTAAATATCACATCAATACTAATATTTCTTTAGTAATGATACTGACACAAAAATACTTTACATTTTTCTCAAATAACTAAGTTTTCTTAAATATATTTTTTTAATTTGTTTTTGTTCTTACGTCTATTCATAAGAACCAAAAACTTGTATCATACAAAATAGGAAGATTTATTGTTAATTTGCATAAACATAAAATTATTATGTCACATGATTCAAGGCAGAACCAAAACTTGTCACTGCTTTATATTTATAAGTCATAATTAAACTTTGTCACATTTTTCTTTAAAGTGTGTACAAAACCAACTTCAGGAAATGATTTGTGTATACATTTGCACAGTTTTTGACACATTTTTACCATAAAAAAATGTTTTGTCACATTTCCAGACTCGTATCTGTGCATACATTTCTTCCGCAACCTAAGACCTTAACATGATTTTGGTACATTTTCATACACTATCTACATCTCTAAGGTAATATTTTTTGGTATTTCTACAACCCTTATCACATTTCTAGTAACATCATAAGTAATCTGCACCTTGTCACTTTTCTGGGAACACTACTATAAACCTTGTTGCATTTCTGCCAAATATTTGTTGAGTAGGTTTTAAAAGTGAAACTCTATCTTGCTTTGTAAGATCATGAAGAATAACCCACTACTTGTTGAGTAGGTTATGTGAAACTCTTTCCATGTTTGTAAGAATAACCACTATTTGTTGAGTAGGTTATGTGAAACTCTTTCAATGTTTATAAGAATAACCACTGTTTGTTGAGTAGGTTGTGTGAAACTATATCTTGGATCATGGGAATAACCCAGTACTTGTTACATTGTTGCATATATATCAAAGATAATTCCTATAAAACAGGAACTTGGACGGCATTATTTACTTTTCCTTTCATTACGTTTATTTTTATTTACAAAGGAGTAGATCCAGTAACCCTAATAAACGGCCCTGTAAAGATGTATTTTTAAAAATTCAATTTTGATTGAGTAAATCTTAGGTCTATGTATTAATTGCTAAATGTATCAATTTTGAAAATATAAAGAATAGTTGTATAATTGCTTTATATCTATAAATACATTAGCCTAGAATAGGAATATATTTTATTTTGTCCCTTTTTTCTAGAAATTTGTCACCTTTTTCAACCTTTTTATGTGATTTTATATGTAGCGCCATACGTAACCCATTGAAATTTTGGAAGAAAAGTAATGGTATATAGAGAATTTTTCAGCAAAAATTTTGTGGGCGAGGAATGGCGCCACTACTTTTTTTCCAGAAAACTGTCATAAATATTGCCAAATTATGTAAAAAAAATCATTAATACGTCTCAATTTCACTCTTATCAAAACATTGTCCAAGTTATAAAAATTCCGATCGTAAGGCCCAAAATTATGAGTTAGTGAACATTAGTCCTTTTATTTATTCTTTGCTTTCTTAAGGGGGTACCTAACACTTTTTCTAACATTTTCTAAAATAGATTTGGCTTGTTTAATTTTCATGAAATTTTGACAAAATATTTATTTTGACCTGATGACAAAAATATGAAAATTTCAAGAAATTTGAACCACACAATTTACAGGAATAATTTCATTGGGTATATACATGTAGCAGTTTGACAAACACTAATTTTAATCATTGAGAAGCTTGATTTCCTCTTTACTAATGATATGTGATTAAAACATTCAGCTGATTTTTAAAGAGTTAACTCCCTTAAGTGTTCTCAGTACCCCCTTAATTTATATCATCAAACTGCCATCCATACATTTAATGAAATCAGAAAAAGGTGAGAAAACTGATATCAGCATGAAAACATTGAACACTGCATACATATACATATAAACAGGATCAATGTGAACATGGTGAGTGGTCAGATCTTATGGGACTGAGTATAACAAATACTTGTCACAATTCTGGGTACAACCTCATATTCTCTGGTAATGTAGAACACACTAACGATGAATGTGAATCCATTCTTGAACACACTGATATATACTATATATAGAGACCTGACAGATAATGGGAATCATTTGGTGTACTACTACTGTGTCTGGCCTACAGACTAATATACAAAACTGACAAATAATGTGAAATCATTTGGTGTACTACTACTGTGTCTGGCCTACAGACTAATATACAAACCTGACAAATTATGCGAAATCATTTGGTGTACTACTACTTTTTCTGTCCTACAGACTATTATACAAACCTGACAAATAATGCGAAATCATTTGGTGTACTACTACTGTGTCTGGCCTACAGACTAATATACAAACCTGACAGATAATGTGAAATCATTTGGTGTACTACTACTGTGTCTGGCCAGGAAACTCCCGTCATAACCTCGTTCCTTCAATAGTTCCTCAGCCTTTATCCCACTTATGTTAGGATGGAACCATCTGAAATAAACATAGTACTGATCAAATTTTGCTTCAGTTACTAGTTTAACTTGAATAATATCTGAATGTAAATTAAAGGGGTATTAGCTATGCTTTCAACAGTATAAGCTGAACAAAAAAAGATTTTTTTTATTTCAACAGGAACAGAATGTTGAATAATAATTTAATGTTATCAGCTGTCAGTTTGGTTTGATTTCTAAATAAGCCCCAAAATGATACATTGTTGACTTGCATGACTTGCTAGGCAATAATTTGACATCATTAAAATTCATGTGCATGAAAAATACTTATTTCATAGCAGTTAAAGTGCTCAGTCAGTTATTATAGCTGCAAAAATGAAACTAAGGATTCAATATATATAAGAAGACCAAATTACACTGACTGATTGACCCCCAAAAAATTTTCTTTTATATATGCAAAAAAAACCAAATAAATGTGGATAGTGTCCACATGTGGACACAGATGATGCCCCCGCTTGCATACCATATAGTTATAAAGGGACATAACTGAAGAAAGGTAAAAGTGACGCTAACAAAATTCAAACTTGATCTGTGTTTTGTAGTAATAAGCATTGTGTGTAAGTTTCATAACATTTGGTTGAGGCAAACTAAAGTAAGAGGACGGAAACGAAAATTTTAGCAATTATTCCATTTGCAAAGGGGCATAACTCTAGAACAGTAAAAGTGACGCCACCAAAATTCAAGCTTGATCTGTGTTTTGTAGTAATAAACATTGTGGATAAGTTTCATAATATTTGGTTGAAGCAAACTAAAGTTAGAGAACGGAAATGAAAAATTCAGCAATTTTTCCATTTGTAAAGGGGCATTACTCTCGAACATTACAAGTGATGCCACCAAAATTCAAACTCGATCTGTGTTTTGTGGTAATAAGCATTGTGGACAAGTTTCACAACATTTGGTTGAGGCAAACTTAAGTTAGATAACAGAAACCAATTTTGGGACGTACGGACGGACGGATGGACAGACGGTACGACGTACGGAGGGACAAACGGACGTAAAGAGGAACAAGGGTAAAACTTAATGCCCCTCCGCTACAGCGGGGGCATATATAGAATTCCCCAGTGAGAGAGTCCAACATTGTTGATTCTTTTTACAATTCTATCAATTGTTTATTGTACGTATTGAAATTTTGTAATTCTTAGATGCTTTTTGGTATGTTATAAATTAAATTCTAGAGTTGAGGTCAATTCGGTGGACACAAATTTTGCAGCTACATGTAAATTGCTGCATTAACCATATGTTTCAATAGTTTTCAGAGCTCTCATCCAGTTGATGACTCAGTTGCTTCTTACTTTAATTTTTTTGTCTAAATGCAAAAATTAGTTCTACTTGAAACTCAATCTTCCCTACATAGTTTTAGATGTGAAGATTGTCCTTTGTCTTTTGCAGCACCCAACCAGCGTCCTACATGTATATGTTTGAATGTACAGTAAATCACTTGTCAATTAATCCTTCTACACATACATGTAGCAGTTAAAGACATTAAAAAGCATAATGACCACGAAACAAGAAAGTATAGTACAAAGTTTAAATTTTTCACAAATAGAATGGAATTCATATTGATTACATATTTGTCAAATATGAAATAAACTTTCTAAAAGTATTAATTATCTTCTTTTACAATCATTGTTCATAGTTTTCATGCAAGTTCCATGAAGTTCTTTTGTTAACTGTTTATGTTTATCAAAGAATCCATTATGTACCAAGATATATATTGGACTTTAATCACCTTTTTTCCTTATTATAGAGTTATGTAACACCTGTGTCATGTGCAGTCATTATGATGTTTACTTCATTATTAACAATGGCTTTAAAACTAAAGGTTTTTTATTTGAATATCATTTATTCACAAACTTTTATCATATATATTATATATCAAAATAAGGGGATGTGGTATGATATTGCCAATGAGACGACAACTATCCACCAGAGTCAAAACGAAATGGAAACTTAATGTAACTGTACAGCCTTCTATAACATATACATATCTATTTTCCAATTTTACTGGTTTCCATTTATAACGAAACACTTTATAATGCTAATATTCTATTGTTGATTCATGATTTAAAGATTTAAAGTCTTGAATCAAGATAAAAAAAGAAAAGAGTTCCAATGTCCGCATTGCCCATATTTGATCTATATCCATTGAAGAGCAATAAGTAAAAAAAAATTCTTTTTTTGTTCTTTAAAACTTTTTACAAATATCTTACATGTCTTAGAGAACTGAAGGCGTGAGAGCAAATACAATGTAATTTTCCATATAATTAATATTTCCAAGGGCATAACGCTTTTAAAAATACTTAATCGGCACTGATTTTCGAACCTGTCCTAGATAGTGCTGATATAAACCTATGATATAAGTTTTATAAAAATCTGGCAAGAATTGTACACGTGAGAGCGCTAACAAGTCCAGACAGACAGAGGCATGGAGGGATGCCTGGTATTTCTATGTCCCCTGCAACTTGTCATGCAGGGGACAAAAAGAAACCTTGGAACATGGATAAATGGTAAAGAGAGAGAGCTATAACAAGCTACATAAGTGGTCTGGTAGTGTAGGAGGGAAGGAGGGCATGGACAAAGAGGGCATATGCTCCACTTTGATTGGAAACAAATAATTTTTCAGCATAAAATTTGTCCAAATTTTGTTTGGCCTTGCTACGCTAGCAGTACATATTCAATTTTCAGCAATTATGCCCCTTTCAGAGATCCTCTAAATTTAAATAACATGTGCTGATCATGAGTTTCCAATACTTTACCATAATTCTCTTCATACTTTGATGCACATTAAGGCCAACACAGTTTCCCATTATTAGGTAGAAAAAACTAATCTTTAATATCAAGGAAACTATTGCAAATTTAGGTAATTTTCTGTTTTACCCCTGATCAATTTTGGGGAAATGTTTCAAGTCAATATATATATGTAAAGTTCTACCTTGTTGTATTTGAAATATTAATGCAATGAACTGTAACTTCAGTCTGTGGACAGGATGTCCCAGAGCTTCAATTCATAATCAGGACTTTTTGTATTTTCTAAAGGCTATATTTTCAAGTTTTGTCATTTATTCCTCTTTAAGCTTCAGTGAAAATAGGTTTCAATACAATACTTCAATAGACATTACTGCAAAGTAACTTTTTCTTCATTTTGGTGATTCACTAGAAATATTCAAGCCTATATACATTGGAAAATGGGGTAATTAAATTAAAACTTGTTTTCTTTTAATGGCATAGTAAGAAATCAACAGTAAAAAAAGACAGTCAGGGGACTCTTACATCAGAGACATAATTTGTTCATGTGATTTTATAGACACTTGTAAACCAAGTATATATAAATTTAGATCTGAAGTGGTAATATATATGACAGCCATCTTTGCTTTTTAATTCACCAGTGAAATAACCAATTCAACTCCATATCTGTATCTATATATAGGTAAAAGTAGATGTCTGGACATAGTCTCCTTTGAACAATACTTTTAAATTGTGCAAAAAAAGAAACAGAAAGCTGTTTTCAATATTACTTTAATCATGTCAGGTTCTAATAACAAATTCTTAATAAGCTAATATATATATATGATATTTGTGAAATCAGGAAAAAGATGCTGTATAAATACATGCATATTTTAACAATTTCATTCATGTATAAAATTAAAATTTGCACATGAATAGAAAGTAGATATCTAAAAACTTCTTGCAGGCTTTACTGAATAAGTAATTCATAAAAGTATACAATTTCTTAAAATTTTTTAATGCAATAGTCACTTTGTGTTAAAATCTCACCATTGTCGATGTTAAAATCACTTCCAAAATATACACATAGTACTTGTAACATGTCAATAAACAGGGAAGTAAGAATAATCAAGTCAACAGTGCCTTCTACCACAGACATTTTTTTTTCAAATTTAATGTAAAAAAAAGATTCAAAAATACAAAATCTGTGGAAATATATGAATTTAAATACCCACTTTTTTTGTTCCACCATCCTGGCAATCTTAGATGACCTGTGTGTGGACATTTTGAGAGCAGGAAGTTATAACACTGTTTTTGAACTAGACAATTTAAACCTAGATCATTTAAATATACAGTACTCCACTTATATGAGAGGTATCAGAAAGGGAAATTTCAATCATGTACTATTCAACTTCAATATCAAAGAGCAAACATAACCTGTATACAATGCACACTGTGAATGTACACCTATATGTTATATATTTACACATATGCATGTACTTTGGTCGGGTTGTTGTCTCTTTGACATATTCCCCATTTCCATTCTCAATTTTAATGATGACTTATCTGCATGAAAATAAAAAAAGATTTTATGAACATAACTTGGTAAACAAAACATTAAATCGAATAAAAATAAATGGGGAATGTGTCCATGGGACACAGATGATGCCCCCGCTTGCATATAACTTTATAGAGGGACATAACCCTAGAACTGTAAAAGTGACGCTACCCAAATTTGTACTTGATCTGAGTTTTGTGGTAATAAGCATTGTTTATAAGTTTCATAGCATTAAGTTGAGGCAAACTTAAGTTAATGAACAGAAACGTAAAATTCAGCAATTTTTCCATTTGTAAAGGGGCATAACTCTAGAACGGTAAAAGTGACGCCACACAAATTCAAACTTGATCTGTGTTTTGTGGTAATAAGCATTGTGCATAAATTTCATAACATTTGGTTGAGGCAAACTAAAAGTTAGAGAACAGAAACGAGAAATTCAGCAATTTTTCCATTTGTAAAGGGGCATAACTCTAGAACAGTGAAAGTGATGTAATAATGTGTAATAATGTGTATAAGCTTCATAGCATTTGGTTGAGGCAAACAATTTTGGGACGTACAAGGGTAAAACTTAATGTCCCCTCCACTACGGCGGGGGCATAAAAAACCCTTATACAAAGCCAATACAACTGAGAGTCAAAAATAAAAATAACCATGTAAGAGAGAGAATGATCACAATATTATGTCATTTGTCAGTACCATTATGAAGTATGATCTATTGTCACTTATTTTACTGATAAAATCAATTTAGACTTTGATAGTAAGTGTAGTAGGGATTTTACTCTATCTATATATATACCTTCACATACAGGTTCATGTTCATAGAAAGTTTTAACTTTAACCTCTCAAAATTGAATTCTAAATGGAATTAAATAAAGTCTTTGGATTTATCCAGATATAATATATGTATGGGAGTTTGGAAGTAAGGAGTTGATTTGGTGAGTAACATTCTGCCAGGCTAAGAAATTCCTAAATGCAATTAAATAAAATAGTCTACTGAGTCTGACAGTGCATCCTCAGGGGTCTCCGGCACGGCTGAGAACAGGCCCTCTTCCTGAGTTGTGACAGAAAACACTTACAGGAAGTGGATAAAAAAAAACATACAACGCCATTATAAAATTGACAACTGCACCAAGTGAGCAAGATATTTAGCACATGGTACCCCCTTCCACCTCCCCCACCTACCAAAGATAAGCTAATGCTATAAATACTAATATTTATATTTATATTTTTCCTATATCATGTATATCATCATAGGGCTCATTAAAAGCAATTCAATCTACAGATACTGACAATACAGTATAAGCCCTCATACATATCCCTCTTGAGATTGTTCATAGTGTTTCAGTAATTCTACTGGGAGTATATTTATCTGTATTTATTATATATATATAAATTAAAATTAATTTTCTTCCTGTTCCTTATCTCTAACTATCAATATAAGGTAAACTTGACAAAGGCCAATTTACTTTGGGCTGTAAATAATTATTTACTGTAGATAACAAGAAATTTCACCTGTACAAAATATAAATGTCAATACATTATAGGGTTGTTGTAGAGGCAGGCGGTCTTAATACATTGTTCGTGTTTACACAAGACTATACATTAGAAATATCTTCCTCTTAGACATTATCATAAATACTTGTAAATTCTATTAAAGTGTGCAAAAACTCTCAATTCTAACTGGTTGATGATTGGTGAGCTCTACCCATATTCCCCATATCCCACCCTGAATTAATTTGGCATTTTCCCACAATTAGAAGAATTTTTTATGCTTAGTTCTATTTTGCATAAAAAAACAGTAATTTATAATGGGAGAATAACTTCCAACATTTATGAAAATCAGCAATGAGTGAATTTTGATGATACATTTTTATCTGCAAAACTTTCCAAGAGGACACTAGTACTATGTGGGGACTAGAACTAGCAAATTTGGTTTTTTTCAAGAAGTTTTTTCTTATAAGTCAATGATTGGACCTTGCAATGATAAGTAATCTTTTAATCTTCTTCTTCCCTGTTTAGGGATTACCACTTAACATCCACTTTTCTTGACCTATTTGGCTTATTAATAAGGCCAACAATTTGCAAATCATTATAATGAGAACGGCCAATACACGACATTTATGATTTAAGGACAACAGCTGGCAGCTTATTTCCTTTATAAATACTAAGGGCATTCCTTTGTTCCACAATGACAGTCATCTTTGATGACAGACAGGGTAACTTCCTTGTTTGTTTGTAGGTGCCAGCTACCTTGGCTATTTAATGATAGTCAGGTTATTGGTGGAGGAAGCAGGAGTACCAAGTGAGAACCACCAGCCTTCAGCAGAAACAAACTTAAGCAATCCTTTCAATTAAGAACAGAGTTGAACACAGGTTTCAGAAAACTTTAGGACAATTATAGTATATAATTCAGAAGATTTATGGCAGTTAGAGAATAAGTACCAGGGATACTGAGTACTCTGTCTCAAGGATGATTTTGTTGACACTGGGACAAAAATTCACAACCATGATTAATCATATCCACTGCTTGATCAACCAAAGTATATAACTTTTATACCAAAACTTAGGTATACTTATTACTTCTGTAGGAAACTTCATATTAAACAACCTATATCTTTATGAGGTTCTGCAGCTGGATAAGGGGTCCTTTATTTCTTTATTCTTTAAGACCATCTTTCTATATTCTATATTTTAGTACCCCATTATTCTCCAACATGTCCAATCTTTATTTATTCTGCACTTTTTGCCCACTTTTCTCTATTCTGTAAACCCCATCCAGACTCTCTTTCAGTAATGCTTCTGACTTGGTCATATTTTAAAGATTTCATACATTCTAGATATGCTCTGAGGTAATCACTATTTCATTACATGGACAGAGTGACTGGAGAGTGACAGATACAGCAATGTTGTTTTATTGGAAAGTAGTAATCTTAGTTATACTCAGTGATCATTCCAGACTGCCTACCTGCAAACATGGGTACTATTTTTTTGTTGTTGGTCCAACTGTTACTAGTAACATAGAAATTGACAAAGATGACCCTCATGCCTTATCAATAATGTATGATTGGCATTTGTTTCATAAAATACAATTTAAGGTTTTCATTTTATCTAAATTGTTTCTAGAGTCATTGACAGTACCCTTGATATAAAATCTTTTTGAAATACAATAGCTCCTTAACACTTCATGTACAGTGCTTGTTTTCTCTCTTTTTGAAAATTCAGGACAACTGCTTTATTTTGTGTATAAATGCAGGAGAATTACTGTAAATATTTAGTGCTATAGCTGTGTAACTAATTTTTAGTAAAAATTGACAATTCTACTTGTTAATCAAAACATGTCTTTTTAATGATACAGAGCTACTCAGAATCAGTTAATATGTAATTTTAGAAACCCATACCTATTTCCAACACCTAAATGAACAGATGACTGATTAAACAGAGAAACCCAATGATACTTTTGACCCCTAAAACTCGTTACTAACTGTACTCGACATAAGGAACACTTTACTGTTTATAATAAGTAAGTTTTATGTGAAGTTTAAATGAGTCACTTGTCAAAACAATGAACAAGATGAACACTTGTATTATAAGAATTATTACAATGTCTTACCTTCTTTGTTGGATAATTCTCGATATCCTGCCTTTGGCTTCATCAGTTATCCTATCTACAACCTTGCCACTAGCTGACATGTTAACAGTGTTAACTTTTAACGTTAAGTTTATATTTTAGAGATGTTGTTTTCCAGTGATCACGCTCATTTCCTTTGATTATCCATAAAGAGGAAACTTGCTTATAGACAAACACTTCAGGATCATTATGACTTATTTCCCCTTTCAAAAAATTGTATAAAAATTAAAAATTTGTACACAAAGTTTGATTGAATTGAAGATTATATGTTCAGTACAAAGATAAAGGCAAACCAGGCATTTAACATTTTATTTCCTGGTCTTTTCATGGTAAGAAAATCAGGTAACAATGTATCAATATTTGCATAGTCGTTAAATTCTCATTTTGATTTCATTTATTTTTACAATTATAATATTGTCATTTCTTTTCATTCCTGTCCAGCATTTCAAAGATATGTACATGTATCAATTGATTGTCAACCTTTTAGAATTCCACGATTTCACAAAATAAACTTTTCTGCCTCAGACTCTATTCATAACAAGCAATGCAGGTATATCCCATTAAATGCACATCCATGACATCTAACTACCTATAACATGTATTAGTACTTTTTCTATAATGTTGAAGTTTAAACTTTAACATTTAACAATAGGCAAACTGAAAGTAAGGATGGATGGAAAATAGATAAATCCCAATACACAGATGTACATGTGGCCAATACACAACGTAATAAATTTAACACAGTCAGCATATAAGTAATTTCAAGGTAAGTAGTATCTAAATTTATGTAGATATATAATTATGTAAGTAATAAAATCCAGGTAAGCTTTGTCAAATTGCATTAAATCCTTCAAGTATTATCCAAATCAATTAACTATAAGAAATCTAATTTCACAATTTATAATAAACAAATCCCAAAATTTTTTTAAAATAGACATCTAAACAAATTCAACAGGAAGTAAATGTATACATTATTGTCATAAGTACATTGTACAAGTATACAAAATCACAGTTCAATAAGCTAGGACAATATCAAACAAGCTGAGAAGATTTAAATCTCTCAACTTCATGACTACATAACAATTTCATACCTCTTAATATGCAAGTCTATTATCTTTAATGTGTAAACTTGTTACCATTACAATTGGGCGGTTATCATTTCCTATTATTATTATGTGAAAAATGGATAAATAAGGAAACAAATATATACTTTCCATCTAACCTCCAAAAAACTGACAGATACAAGAATTCAGCAGTCACTTTCCTCAAAATAAGCACAAAACATCGCAAGTCAATAATTTTACCTCACTGAATACATGTGACCTTCTGAATCAATTTACCCCCCCCCCGCGATGGAAATTGGTTACACATATTCTAGGCCTGTTCAGCTATTTAAAGGAAAAGAATGTCAACATTGAAAGTGAAACATAAGGGTGAACCCTTTGGTTGACTGATTTTGATCCACAAAAAATCATTCTTACAGTCTGCACCTTCAGCCACTAGTCAGATGCCCCAGACTAGTAAAATTTTATTCGGACTAGTTAAGGTATTTGCAAATATCTGTTTAGACACATAAGAAAATTGTTTGAATATTGGTCTTCGGACTATTAGTTGAAAAAGATTTTAGTGCAGATTGTTCTTATACAGGTAAAAACGATGATTAACATATTTTCTAACCTCAAATATGAAATCAAACAGACCTAGACAAATCTAATTGTATGTGCTTACTATCTATTTATATTTATACTTAAGTTTATATCAGTTTATATGATCGTTAGCAGTCTTCAAAGGTCATCTTGATGATTAATGAGATGGCATCTAGACTGAAATACACACAAATGCTGATACATATTATTGAGTCCATGCATTCTCAATTGTTTATTTTAGACTTTTTGTAATTTGGATATACTTTTTAGTATATTATAAATCAAATATAAGAATTTGAGTCAAATCGGTGAACATAAATTTGACAGCTAATGCCCCTTTAAGATCCTTTATATAATAATAAGTATATATAAACCAGTATATATCTATGTATACATCAATACAGTCAATTGAACCCATTTGCAACATCAGACGAGAAATTTCAAAGGCAGATTTTTTACCCAAACAATTTCAAAATGATCATAAATTTTTGTGTAAACAGTTAAATCACTATGCCAGTATATGTACGTAGCTTTAATTATTTTCATACAATATAAGATGAAAGTGCCTAAACTCCAGAAAACCAAATTGCAAAAGTTATCAACATGAATTAGGAGATGACCTTTGACTGATTGAAGCACTCTACAGTAGATATGCTTTTTTATTCAACATTCAATAAAACAGGCATTCTGAGAGTATTGCATGGCAATATATAGTCCCCTACCAGTAAAAAAATCATTGTAGTGTACTGGAACAAAATGCTAACTTGATCTATAACTTGTCATGGTGTAAACTATATAACAAATATCAAGTTAATATCTTCAAGCATGACGAAAAAAAGTGTTGAAAACTGGTAATTTAAGTGAATTTTCTTAGTCCAAGGACCATAAAATCATCAGACCGTAACAAAATTCAAACTTCATCTGTAACTTGTCATGATAAAACAATATACCAAATACCAAATCAATATCTTCTAGTACTAAGAAAAAAAGTGTGGAAAACTGATTTGCCGGAATGACGGATGGACAGACAGACAGACAGATGGATGGAGTGCAAACCTAAAGTCCCCTTTGACTTTGTCGGTAGGGGACTAAAAAAATTTAAATAAAAGATTTCAACTTGAGTGGACATTATAAATGGTTGGCTGTCCACACTACATGTATGTGGACAGGTGGAAAAAAACTAATTCTACACACAAGTGACAAATTTTGGTGTAAGCATTATATGATGGAAACCCCAACCCTTTTTTCTCAGTTATTGATATCAAAGTTTCATAGCACCAAAAAGACAACTCAGACAATCACCAAAATTAAACTGAACTTTCTTGAAGTAATCTTCACATTGTGTTAATATTTCATGTAAATGAAACTGGGCTTTCTTCAAGTAGTGGATCATCTGTAAATGTAAACCATGAATTTAAATGTTCAACATAGTATAAATTATCTATGGGCTTGAATGTAGACTTTTGCAAAGATCACGACACGAAATCAAATATTCACGAAAATACAATTTTTCCTCAATCCACAGTATTGTACATGTTGTTGTACAATGTACATCTAAATGTAAAATACTGTGTGAAGTGTAAAGTGAAACATGTTGAAAAACTTCAATTACAGACTGAACCTTAATGCTGACTCTGTGGACAGCACTGAGGACCACAACACAATTTGCCTTACTGTATGTACTTAGAATTTGCTCAGCATTCCTTGAGTTAGCATCGTTTAACATAAAAATTCGTAAGGGTTCTGTTAGGGGTTTAGTATCATACCATCATAACATATACATTGTATGAGAAGAAGATAACCTGTGTCATGCCAACAACTGGTTTTTAAATAAATGTGTTTAGTGCCGATGCAAAGACCCTATAAGTGAATCAATATTAACGCCAAAATATGCAATCTTTAATGACCTGACAACAGTATCGTAACTATATCCCTTCTTAATAATTCTATTTAAAGGTTTTGTTAGCTTCAGAGGTGAATACTGACATTTTTGTGCTTTATAAAGAATATTTCCATAAAAAATTGGATGTGAAATACCTGAACGTATAAGAAGTCTGCATGTTGAGCTATATTTACGAATGATGTCCTTATACCGATGATAAAATTTAGTAAATGTTTTGACTAGTTTGTGATATCGAAAACCCTGGTGTAATAATTTTTCAGTAATACAGAAATTTCTCTCGTTAAAATCTAAAACATTGTTACATACACGAGCGAATCGTACAAGTTGAGATATATAAACACCGTAAGATGGTGACAAGGGAACGTCACCATCTAAAAATGGATAATTAACGATAGGAAATGAAAAATCATCTCTTTTATCATATATTTTAGTATTAAGCTTTCCATTAATGATATAGATATCAAAATCGAGCAAGGGCAGTGGTCATTGTTATTATTAGCTTTATTTAAAGTAAGTTCAACAGGATAAATTTCTTTAGTATACATACTGAAGTCGTCATTATTGAGAGCCAAAATATCATCCAAATATCTAAAAGTATTATTAAATTTGTGTATCAGATGTTGTTTCGATGGGTCTTTGCTGATTTTTGTCATAAATTGTAACTCATAGCAATACAAAAAAAGGTCCGCAATAAGTGGTGCACAGTTAGTCCCCATTGGAATTCCGATAACCTGTCGATATACGGAATCTCCAAAGCGAACAAAAATGTTATCTAGTAAAAATCCAAGGGCATATATAGTATCAAAGCATGTCCAATTGACATAGTTTTTTTGTTTATTGCTACTAAAAAATGACCTAAAAGAGTTTGAACATATATATTCACATTCTGTCTTTTTAAATGCCCATTTAATTAGGTGTGTGAATTTTTTCTTAATGAGAATGTGAGGCAATGTGGTATATAGGGTAGAAAAATCAAAACTTTGAACAGATTCAAAATCACCAATATATGCATGTAATTTATCAAGTACTTCCAACGAGTTCTTGACACTCCAAAAGTAATTAATTCCACTATTTTCGAAGGCCTTATTTGAACAATTTATTATCAGGTTTTTGATTGTACCAAGTGTACTGGTAAGAAGAATAGACAATTTACATGTAGTAGTGGAACAATGGCTTGAAGACAAAATAAATCTATATTTGTAAGGTGTTTTGTGTAGCTTCGGAAGCCAACAAGCTTCTGTCCAAGTTTGGTAGAAATCTAGGATAGTTTAAGAAAGTTATTAAAATATCAAAAACTTTAACCACAGAGTGAATTATGTAGGATCACTATGTCTCTCTTTTGCGACTTTTGTCGCAGGCTCAACAAAAATGGGTCAAAGTCTCAAATGTTTGGGTTGCAATAATTGGGACTACAATTGTTTACAATGTAGAACTTTTCAATTACATGAAGGTTGTAAATTTTGCTGAAAGTATCTAAGTTCTGAAAAATGTGAAAAAATTCTTCTAACAACTCCATAATTGCAGGTGCACAACTTTTACATGTGCATGATGTGTACAATCTTTCTGTGAAGTCTAAGGGATCCTGGTTGATGTAGGAGGAGTTGAAAACTTGTACACTCTTTCATATTATAGCTGAAAATTTCACTAAGTTTGGAAAATATAAGAAATAAATGGAGAATATGTCCATGGGAAACGGATGATGCCCAAACTTGCATATAACATTATAAAGGGGCATAACTCGAGAACGGTAAAAGTGACGCTCCCAAATTCGAAATTGATCTGTATTTTGTGGTAATAAGCATTGTGTAAAAGTTTCATAACATAAAGTCATGAAAGTTAGAGAACAGAAACCAATTTTGGGACGTACGTACTGACAAGGGACTAACACTTAATGACCCCTCCATTGATGGTGGAGGCATAACAATTCCATAATAGAAGATGAACAACTTCAACATATGTGCAATCTTCCAGTGAAGTTTCAGGGGTCTGGTTTGAAAAATGTACAAAAAAGAGTTTGATTAAACAAAACTTGTACCCTCTTTTATCAATTTTGCAGAAAAATGTATTCATTATTTCTTTCAAAAATGATTTAAACCTTTGCTTCAAGGAAGTAAATGTGCATCAAATATATATACAATTTAAATGTATTCAACCTATAAACATGATAAAAGATAAAAGATTCAAAAGATAAGCTTGCTATGATAGAAATGATATTAC